ATCGGTTTTTTTGAAATCGTGTACCCCCCCCCTAGCGGCCACATAAATTTATCTGGAGGGCTGAAAATTAGTACACATATGTATTTTCGCGTGTAGATTACAGGAAAATTATAGCGAACTTGATTGGAATTGATTAACATAGCGTTGTCAAGGAAAAACCATGAATTTTTACGAAAAATGCCTAAAAATGACTATGTACCCCCCCCCCCCTAGCGGCCACATCTTTTGACATAAAGAGCTCAAATTTGACACACTTACGTATTTTTACGTGAAAATTACAGGAAAATTATAGCGAACTTGATTCGGATCAATTTACATAGCGTTGTCAAGGAAAAATCAAAAATTTCGAAAAAAATAATTTATTCTCCCTAGCGCACACAATATTCAACCCAGACAGATCATATTTAGTATACAAATGTATTTTTACGGGAAAAATACAGGGGAAAAAAGCGGTCACGATTAGAGTTGATGATTAACTTTTTATCAAGTTTTTCAAGAAAAAATGACAATTTTAGGGAAAAAATGTATTTTTCCACCAAAAACGAACAAAATTTTATTTAAAGGAAATTAAATTTATATATTTTAACGTATTTTTACGTGTAGATTACAAAAAAAATATAGCGAGCATGATTGGAGTTGATTATCATAGCGTTGTCAAGGAAAAACCATGAATTTTTACGAAAAATACCTAAAAATGAGTATGTACCCCCCCCCTAGCGGCCACATCTTTTGACATAAAGAGCTCAAATTTGACACACTTACGTATTTTTACGTGAAAATTACAGGAAAATTGTAGCGAACTTGATTCGGATTAATTTACATAGCGTTGTCAAGGAAAAATCAAAAATTTCGAAAAAAATGATTTATTCTCCCTAGCGCACACAATATTCAATCCAGACTGTTCATACTTGCTGTAAAACTCAATTTTTGCGTGAAAAATACAGGGAAAAAATGTAAGCGCGATTGGAGTTGATGATCAATTTTTATCAAATTTTTGAAGAAAAATGATAAATTTCAGAAAAAAATGTATTTTTCCGCAAAAAACGAAAAAAGTTTTTCTACAGTGATTCAAATTTATATATTTTGACGTATTTTTACGTGTAGATTACAAAAAAAATATAGCGACGATGATTGGAGTTGATTTTTCTGGAATTAATAAACAAATTTTATTTTTCAGATAACTTTCGATTTTTCCTTGACAAGCAGCTACTAGCCTTATATCAATATCTTAAGTTTTATCTCTTTTTGACTTAGAAAGATAAAATTTAATATTCAATATATTTTTAAAATGTAAATACAATAAAAATATTGCGAGTTGAAATAAAATTATGTTTCTTATATTTTTTTAGTAAAATATTTTTTAAAAAATAAAATCGGACAAGTGCGAGTTACACTCGCACTGAAATCGAGGGTTCCGTACTCGAAGCGAACTTATTTGGTATAAAAACAAATGTTTAAAAAATATGTGTTGTATGACAACTAATATAAGTGATACGAAGAGGAACAATTTTCTTGAATTTTACAAAATTGTTCCTTTTTGTATCACTTATATTAGTTGTCATACAACACATATTTTTTAAACATTTGTTTTTATACCAAATAAGTTCGCTTCGAGTACGGAACCCTCGATTTCAGTGCGAGTGTAACTCGCACTTGTCCGATTTTTTTAATAATATTTTTTGAAAATTCACCATTTTTCAATTAAAAACGATTTTCAAATTATTGTATTTTGTCCGCATTTTCTAATAAATTTTTAGTGAAATCATCTAAAATTTTAATTAAAAATCACTTAAAGTTTCAATTAATTTTCAAAAATCTCAATTTTAAATCTTTGAAAATTCAAGTAAATTTTAAAAATGTTTTCCAAAAATTGTTTGATAAATTATTTTTAGTTCTGTAAAATTTAATAATTGTTTGAAAATTAACAATATCTTTTGAAATTTAATTATTTCTAAAAATTTCAACTTTAACCCTTCGAAAAGGATTATTATTAAAAAAAAAATTTTTTATTTAAAAATCTGTAAAATATTTTTGTTAAAATAAAAAACAAATCCACTTTTTTTTTAATATAAATCGACTAAAACGACTTTTTGTGTCTATAAGTTGATTCGAGACCTGTGTTTTTATAATTAATATTTAATAGGTATTCGTTGGCCCCTAGTACCTTAAAAATTAATTTTTAAAAATAAATTTTTTTTTCAAATGACTATCTTGTACGAAATTTCCTAGCTCATCTTTTTTCTCATCATAAATTTGTTGTATTTGTATACAATTTTTGAATGAATATACAATTTTAAAAAAAATTTCGTTGGTAAACGTTGTGTACTTCAGCTTTGTGAATTGAATTTTCGAATTTGGAATTTTAAAGAAACAAGAAACTTATTCCGAAATTTGGAAACACAATTATACAACTTTATGAGGCCGAAGTCCGCAACGTTTTCAAAAACGAAAAATTAAAATAGAATTATTTTTTCAAGTCAATTTATCTTTAATTTTGATTTGCACAAACTTTCAAGAAATTAATAGTTTTATATAAAAACCAGCTACTCCCAAATAACTTTAATTTTAAACCAAAGTAATTAATATTGTCTAATTATTTTTTCGTTTTCGTTTTAAAAACGTTGCGGACTTCAGCATGATTACAACTTTGTCAAAAATGAGAAAAAAAATAATTGTCAAAATTTGACACGTCATAAAATTACTATTCAAAAAAACACATGAAATCAGAAAAGGTCAACTTCAAGTTAGAACAGAAGGACAGACGAAGCATTTTATTATTATATAATTTTTAAATTTCAATATAAACAAATTTTTCGTTCATTTGAACGTTCAGAATATATAATTAGTTGATTGAAAATTGGGATGAGGAAAAATTATGTAAATAGAGTTATAAGTTTTAATATTATTGTATAATGTGCAATATGTAATGCATTAGTGACATTAGAGCTTCATTACGGTTGAGATTGATTACTGAGTAATAAGTCTGTTTGTATAATAGCGTTATAATCGCTGTTATATTACTGCTATTACCGTTTATCTTCATAGGGACATTTGATATGAGATTATGTAAGATAGTTGACGTAATATTAGGATGTAACAGATCTAGCTACCGTATACCTTCACGATATAAGAATCAAGTGCATATCAGGTGCACTTGATAAGTGACACTTTAATCGGAACAAAAGTTTGTTTATCTTTATATTTTCTTATATTTAAATAAAAAACAATTTACAAATGGTCGTGAACCGAATCATCGAAACGTTGCAAAAAGTAATTTTTTTATGTTAAATATTTACTTTGTCTTTTAAATATAGTAAAAAATCTTATTAAATAATTTTTTCATTAACATTTTGAATCATTAAAAATGTAATAATAAAAAATGTAAATTTCTTTTGGAAAACAATTTAAATATCATAAATTTTAAATCATACTATCAGAAATTTTTAATATTTATCTAAGTCTACCTTTAAATGAAAAAAAAGTTTAATTAAAAATGGGTTTTTCTTTTAAAAACATCAAATTGGATTTTAACTTTTCCTTGACTTTGCATCCGTTTTTTATTTAAATATACACTGGAAACAAATTACGAGAGAAATATTAATTTAAAAAAAATCTTTTTAAAAATTTTTATAAGTATGAATAATATATAAAGAATTTTTTTAATTTTAAAAATAAATGTTAAATGAACATGCATTTTTTTTGCAATTTTCTAAGTTTTTTGTTTTTATTTCTTATATTAGAAGTTGTTTAAACTCTTTATATTGTATAAAAAGAATTCACTTTAAACGTGAAACAATCTTTACAATAATAACACTGGCACACAAAAAAAAAATTGATGCTCTGAGCTTTTGACCAGACTATGACTACTTTATGTTTTCGGGGTCGCTGAAACCGAATCTGAAGTCCGTTTAACCCCATCACCCTAGGGTTTTGAGAAAACTTCAAAAAACACCAAAATTTGACCCCAAATTTTTGAAATCAAGAAAAAATTTTATCTCCAAGTCTTATCATGACTACTTTATGTTTTTGGGGTCGCTGAATGCAAATATGATGTCTATTTAACCCTATCTTGTCAGGGTTTTGAAATAATCCAAAAAAACCTCAAAATTGGGATTTTTTGGGGGTTATTTCAAAACCCTAGGGTGATGGGATTAAACGGACTTCAGATTCGGTTTCAGCGACCCCAAAAACATAAAAGAGTCATGATAAGACTTGAAGATACAAATTTTTCTTGATTTCAAAAATTTTGGGTCAAATTTTGGTGTTTTTGTAGTTTTTTTAAAACCGTAGGGTGATGGGGTTAAACAAACTTCAGATTCGGTTTCAGCGACCCCGAAAACATAAAGTAATCATAGTCAATCTTATAGATCAGAATATTTCTTGTTTTTCAAAATTTTGAGTTCGAATTTTGAGGTTTTTTTGGGGTTATTTTAAAACCCTAGGGTGATGGGGTTAAACGGACTTCAGATTCGGTTTCAGCGACCCCGAAAACATAAAGTAGTCATAGTCTGGTCAAAAGCTCAGAGCATCAATTTTTTTTGTGTGCCAGTGTAATCCATAATATACTTATGTGATAAAGGCCACGATATATAGTTTCTATCTAAAAGTAAATATAAACCTTCTTGAAAACATAAGACATAAGGAAAATAAAAAGTTTGGAGTAGAATCTTTTGAAACCAAGGTTTTCTATAGAAAGAAAGTTCTTACAAAAGTTTTCCAATATGCTAGTGTCTTCGTTTCGATAAAGGCAAAGAACTTGTTCACTGCTCTATATGAAAAAAAAAAAATATTTACCTCTACACTTATAATTAACAATTTTTGTTGTTCTGTATATCGTTAATCGTTAATGTTAATTGAAACATTTTATACTGATAATTTATTTTTTTTTTGTATGTTTTATAATCAAAAAATTATTTCTTAAAACTTGAACAAAAATCATTTGTGTTTTGAGTAAATTAAAAATTGATGATTAATTGTTGTGGTTTTTATTATTTTTACAGCAGGACTGGGAGTTAACGAAAGGTTCGACACCTTGGGGTAGTGCCGTCAGAAGATGGGCAGAAATGCAAGATGGACAAAAAATTTTATTGACCACCCCAAGTGTACTTGTTGGATTTAGAGTAGAAGTCTATCGTGCAGAAGGTACCACTCAATGGTACACAGCAGTCATTGTTGGATACAATGAATCGACAAAGGTAAATTATTTCACATTTTTTTATTTTCGAAAAGGATAAAAAAAAAATTATAATTTTTACAATTTTTTATCTTGTATTTTTTTTTTTCTTTCAAAAATTAAAAAAAATCAATTTTTGTAAGTTATTTAAAATTTGTTATTCCTGTGAAAAAATAAAAGAGGAATCTATTTCTCACGATGAATTTTAAATAAGAAAACAGAAGAAACATTTAAGAAAAAAATGAATAGCTTCACGTCGTTTTGTTTGCTAAACTTACCCCTCCCCCCTCTTTTTTTTTAAAACTTCTATTCTTATTCTTTCTCTTTTACCTCACGAACTTTTCTCAAATAAAACCCTCTTCTCTTTTTTCAAAGTCAAACCATTCTTCCTGCTGCTATTGTTACCTCTCTTTTTGCCGCCTTAAAAGATTGCAAAAACTTTTACAAAACTTGTAGAAGAAAATGCCAAGGTGCCACATTAGACGTGCGATTTTTCTCGCTGTTATAACTTTACGGATTCCGAGTTCTAAAGTCTAAATGAGTCTTTTGAATATTGAATATCCTTCAACTTTCTTTTATATATTCGCCTTGAAAAAATATAAGCTTTCATTTTATTGAATTTTTTTTTTTATAACTGTCAACAATGAATTGCACAAGATATTATTTATTATATAAACTTGATAACCGTTAAAGAGCAAAAAATATATTTACTTGATATGAATATTTTTATTTTTTAATTAATTTAATTAAAAATTAAATATAATATATAATTAATAAACTTTCTCGTCAGCATATATTATTTTAATAAATGATTTATTATTGCATATTTTGAAAATAATTATAATATTAAAAAAGAATTTTTAAATTACAAAATATTTGCTCTCGCACTAGTCTTTCATTTATTGATCTTTATATAGTATGGTTGTAATTTTCTAAAAATGTAGAAAATATTTGAGCTTACTTCTATTTTCAGTTGAGTTTCGTGACTAGTGGGTCTTTTTATGTACCATATATGAAATTGATAACAAATCTTATCAAATAATTTTCTAACCTGACTTTCTTGCGTGTAAAAGGACCTTCTCTGTATACTAAACTGAAAAAAAAGAGTTACGATAAGTTATATCAAAGTAATTGATTGTGATTTAAAGTATATAATTTGATTCAATGAAATATCATAAATTTACAATATTTTGAAATAAGAAAGTTAAAGAAATCGCTTTTATGTGAAATTGAAAAATATAAACATTTTCGTGGATGTAGAAAATGAAAAATAATATTTATAAATAAAATATTATCAGGTTATTACAAATTTAAACTAATTTAATTTTTTTTTTTTTAGGATTTAACAGTGACAGACGACACAGTTCTCGAGGACCACAACGAGGATCCGAGTCTTGTGCAAATGCGCCTAATTGGAGATGGAGGTGAGTAGTTAAGGCGATTTTGAATGCTATCTATCTGCTTACTTTCCTCAATCCCACTTTGGCCTCTGTGAATCTATTTGATCCACTTTAACTGTGTATAGTTAAATTGAAATCACGAATTACTTATCAATGTCTTTATATTTTTCTTCTTCTTCTTCTTTTGATCCATTTATTTTGCTTGATATCTCTTCCTCAAATTTTGCAATCTTAAATCACCATTTTAAATTATTTTTTGTTCTCTTTTTTCTGTTTGCAGTCGTGGAGAGTATTATGCGAGGTGAGGTCGTCGGCATGACTCCCAGGAGGTCGAGGTCATCAACTGGTTTGACCCACACACTGGTCATGGTAAGTACCAAACAAGTTTTTGAGCTTATATGAAAAACAAATTCAATATTATTTATTCGCGTTATGACACTCTTTTTTTTATAAGTTTAAAAATTTGCTTTTTTCCAACAATTTTGTTGAAACTGTATTCTCAATTTTTTCTAATCTGTACTTTTATTTGCCTCTCAGAAAAATTACAAGAATTTATTTTTTTTTCAACTTTTTAATCTTGACTTCAATATGTTGGTATAATCGAAACAGTGTAAATATTGTTTCAAATCGAATGATAACCCCCGTCAAGAATAATATATTGAAGTGAATTTATAAAAGGAGAATAAATTGCTGAATATATTTATTTAAAATAATATAGTCATTTGAAGGTCATCATTTGTTTCATCTGAATATAGTTAAATCGAAAAGTAAAATACTTTATTATATCTGTCCGCGCAAGAAATATGAAAGAAATCTGCAATCTTTCTATAGACAAATAGAAATGTTGGATGAAATCTTTGATCAGTTCCTTGATGCCAAATATAGAAGTGATTCGATCTTGATTAGTGGATAGTTATTTTCTAGCGTCATATATAATATATGGTTATTCTAAAAATATATAAGCGCATTAAGGTAATTGGGATTATTTCTTTGAAAAATGAATGTTAAATTATATCAGTTGCAAGAGATAAAAAATTTATATAGAATTAATTTGATAATTTTACTAATTTCATATAATTTCTTTCTTTATTTCTTTTCATATATATATATATATATATATCTATAATTTCTCTCATGTTGTGCTATAATATTATATGAGCTAATATAATTTTAGTTTAATTTCGTTTTTTAAAATTTTATTGCAAGAGTAAAAATATTCTTTTCAATTCTATATTGTTTTGGAATTGATGTAGATTTTTAAATTAAATCTTATCATGAGTTCTCGGGCAAGGCCGAATGTATATAGTGAAAGCTTCCCTTTAATGTAGGAGTAATCGATAAGCTTGCTCGTGCTTTACTAGGAGGATCAGAAAAGCCCGGAATAGAATCCGTTGCTATCTAAGCTGCCAACTTCCACTCTTGAACGATATTTTTTTATTTTTATTTCTTTCCAAGCTATATTGTCTTACAACTTTTTTCTCCTTTTGCAATTTCCATCGTTTCCTTATTTGTCTTTCTCGAATTTACTGCGCGAAAAATTTGTGTTAGATAATTTATTTAACAAAATTTTTTTACATTAACTTTTTCAATGTATTTTATGCTTATTTAATTATGCCTATACGTAGTTTCAGAATATTGGTTTATTGATGAATGTGGAATAGAAAAAAATTGAATTTTTTCATCAATATTGGATCTTATTCAGGATCACTCATTTTTTTTGAAAATGACACTCGAAAGTCTTAATTAAAAGTGTCAGCGCAATATTCCACCATCATCAACCACATTAATTTTTTCCTCTCCACTTGCGTATATAAATATAGTGACTTTTTATATACCAGAGGGAAAGAATATCGGTATGCAAATATTTTCAGGCCAATGCACGTCTTCTTTTATTAAGAGTTGCGCGTATAAAAGTATACGGGTATAGATATATACTATATGCAGAAGCGCTCACGGAAACGCGGGGGAATAATGAAAGACCTTTTAAGAAACAGGAAAGAATAATTAATTAGTGTCATTTTCCTCTAATTGGATTACCTCCTGCTTATTCAAACTGTACCTTGAGCTCGTTCCGCTTGCAGGAATTGTATGATACAAAAATTCTCATCGTATATATATATATATATATATATATATATATATATATATGTATATAGTCACAGCTCAATGCTATATAGAACGTTACGCTCAGTATTCATTTCCTTTGACTTTTGATAGCAAGATGTAAAAAAACTTTTTCAAGACACTTATTCAGAAAGACTTACATTTCGATATAAGAGAGAGAGAGAGAGAGACTTTTCTCTCCCTTTCCGTTTTGCAATTGGCTAAGGTCACGAAAGAAAGTAAATTCCCTCAACTTCTTTGGCAATTCTTTCCAAGAGTTTTCGACATTCTGGAGATAATCTCGAAATCGTCTGCTTGGGAAGGGTGGAAACTTTTATATAGACCCCTTGAATGAAAGAAATTGATTTATCGCTCCCCAGCAACAAAAAGGGATAAGATTACTTCAATACATATATATATATATAAGTCTAGTTTCGTAAAAATCAGTTCCTGATTCAATTTTGACAATTGACACCGTAAATATATATTATGTAGTTAATGTACACAAATTATTTGATATCGAAGAAATTTTTTTTTTTAATTTATTAAAGTATTTCTTTTTCAAATATTTAAAATTGAATAAAAAAATTTGTTTGATTCAAATACTCAATTACTTGGCTATTATCAAATAAATATTTATATTTTTATCAAATAATTATTATTTGAGTCGATTAAATGGTATTTCAAGTACAAAAATTAAATGATTCAAATACAATTTATTTAATTCAAATTTTTTTCAATTATTTTTTTTTTAACAAAATAAATTGATGTTATCGATCACACCGAGTCAATTATAAAATAAATAATAAAGTCAAAATTTTTTTTATAAATATAACATTATAATTAAAAAAAAAAAAATAAATAAAATTACATTATTATAAATAATACATAATTTAAAAAATAAAATTATAGAAAAAATGAATTATTACCAGTAAAGAAATCATAAATTTTAAAGGAATAAAATAATATTTTAAAATTGGCAAATTTTTAAACGCACTGATTTATTATTCTTTTTTACTGGTAATAGTTAATTTTTTCTATAATTTTTATTTTCAAAAAAAAATTATGAATTATATAATAATGTAATTTTGTTTATTATTTTTAATATTTATATTTTGTTAATAAATTTTAGTTTAATTAAATTAAAAAGTTTTTGACCTTTTCATTTATTTTATAATTAACTCGGAGTGATCGATAACATCAATTTATTATTAAATACCACCAAGTGATAAATTCAACTTATATCTTTTAAAAAATTTTAATTCTTATTGTTTTTTATAGTTACAATTCATATAGACAGGTCGAATATAAATCGTCGAGTAGGTTCGATAGCCGCGGTCGTTAAAGCGCTTTGGTTAGATGTTAGATTAGGTCGTGCGTGGGGTTCGATCCCCGTAGAATTTAAATTTTAATTTAACTCCTGGAGTTTATCGAGCCTAGAGTCACCTACTTTGCTTACATATGCGAAGATGGTGCTACAGGAACTCGAAAAGTAAACTAGATCACACTTATGCCCTGACTTAAATACAATATTTAATTTAGGTACCAAGTGTTGATACATATTAACAAAAAAAAAAAAGAAAAAAAACTCTTGGAGTTTAATTTTTTTTATAGTTAGTGATTGATCATGCATGTTCTAATTATATTCGCACGAGAATGTTGAATTGTCTTTATAGTATGTACTTGAAAGTTTGCATAAACGCACGTAAATATATGGGTACATAGACATGTGCAGTGTCTCTAGGACAAGTAACAACTCGCAACTGAACTTGGAAGTTTGTAACTTAGGTTACGAGTTCTCAAACTTTGCAGAAGGATTAACCTGCAACTACCCGACCGTAATGGAACTTAGCATCGAGTTGGTAACGTCGGGTCGTGTTCGCAAAATGACTATTAAGGTGACTTCGACTCCTGTTGCGTTCTAATTTCACATTCTGCTTGTCGATAAAATATGATTTAAGAAAACTCTTCAGTATCAAACTTCACTGCATTTATTAAACCTAAAATGCACTTTCTACTTTTAAAACTTTATATAACTCGGTATCATTTTCTACGATAAGCTCTCTCTCTCTCTCTCTCTCGGCCGCTTTGAAAATTTAATTTAAATTTCAAATTAAATTTTTCTTCCAATTGAGCTTTAGAAAGCCCCTGAGAGAGAGAAATTTCTTTCAATTTTTCAAAAATTGATGTATTTAATAACGCATTTGATGAAATAGATTTAAGGGGATGTATTTCTTTTCTTTATATTGTAGAAGAAAAAAAAAACAATTTACTTTCCTTATATTATTACATTTTCAGAAACTAAAGAAAAAAAAAAAAACTTTTTACTTTTCTTTTATTATTATTTGTTTATACTTTCCTGTAGTTCGCAAGTTTTTTTTTCACAAAAAAAGGAAAGTTGTACATTTCTTTATTCCTCAGAAAGTTAGACAGTTTGTTTTATCTTTTCTTGATCTTTTTCAAGTCTTGGAAAAAAGTTGTTTAAGAACTGTTAATTTTTATTTTATTTCGAATGCCATTTAATAGTAACTAAAGCTCTGAAATTACCTTATTTTTAAAAATTGACAAAGTGTGAAATTATTTCACAAATCAACAAACTGTAAAATTATATTTATACTACCTATCAAAGTGTGAAATTATTTTTCAGTGTGAATTATTGCAATTAAAATTAAAATTTTATACACATTGAATTGTAATGAAAATTAATTTTTTTTCACTTTTTTTTTTTAAATAAAAAAGTTCAATGAATTGAATTAAATTTTAATGATGGAACTCAAAGGTTCTTCCGGAAGAACAAAAAAGACTCAGGTGAGTGATTCTGAAATCACATTGTAAAATTAATATAGATTTAGATGAGCACAAAGTTAAATATATGGTTTGAAAGATAAAGATTCAAGCTAAACTAAGCAAATTACTAAATTCAAACACCAGGGCTTGGTAGCTTGAATAAATTTAACTATTTTATGGGGGTTTTCAAGAATTCATAAAAAACATGAAAATGGTTTTTAATTCAAACAAAAATATAATAAAAATATATTTAAATCAATTCTGGATTATCTAGTTAGACATATGTTAGAAAAAATTATTTTGAGTCAAAATATTTTGTCCAATAATGATTTTTTTTTCTTTTAGCTCAGACGAAAATCGCAATATTTATCCAATTTTAATAAATTCAAAAAATTATAAAAAAAAAAAAATTGAAAATAATTTTTATTACATTTTTGTTTACGTTAAGAACATAGTTAAAAATAATTTTTTAATTTTAG